ACAGTGAAGAGTGGAGAGTTGAAAAAGCTTTCCTCCCCTTCCCTTTCATTCATGGAACACCATATTCAATTCAACTCATGCTTTATATATGCATGCTTTTAATTACTATATGAGGAGCTGAGATGACTGGATTAAAATAAGAGTAATGAACCAAGGTTTTGGATAAAATAGTCGAACAGTTTGGAGAAAATCTTCAGTGTAGAAAACAAAACCAAGTTCCATTAAATGCCAACCACTGTTTAAAGAGGTCTAGAAATGAGTTATCTTATTATATAGTAACCTTAGTTTTTCTGTTATCGCTTGAAAATAAGTACTAAATTTATTTCTACAACATCTGGATTATTAACCAGGAATAACAATTAGCTACGAGGTTCTAAATGAATTTCAAGCACTGCAAGAGTTCAGACTTCAAAATAGCAGCAAAAGATTTTACTAATAGTATTGTAATAAAATTAGTTAAATGTCTTAATCTTCTCTCTGAAAGAAGAAGGTTTGGGTACTCCAGAAATCGACATGGAGATAATGCTCCAATTTTGCTTTGAAGCAATTTTGTATTATTTCACTTATAGAATATGCTGTCAAGTTCACAGCATGAAGCTTTGCAAGGAAAAGTCTTGATTTAATAGTTCTTCATTACAATATTTCCTGCAGAATCTTATGATTAGCACACTATGTCTTGATGCTGTAAACTACAGTTTTTCCATAAAGTAAGAATTTAGTTAACATTTTCCTTTGGAACAGCAATAACAGGGCCTGCGGCTCTTCCATTGCATCCATAGCCCTGCTGGCCAGGGCATAATGTGGTAGTACACAGATTTGTTTTGTTTTTTGCTGCACAATTGCCACATTAGAGCAGCCGTGGGGACTAAAGATTGGGCCCCTCATTGACTCGAAGGAGTTCTTGATCTTGTGGCTCCAGAGCCTCTGCCATCCCATCACCAATCTGCCCCCCAAAGTCCCATTTAGGGGCTTTCCATTGGCTACCTTTGGCAAGAGAGCCACCAGCAATAGCTGATCACTCTGCTTGGGACTCTAGTACAAGAAAGCCTCCCACACATACATAGTGCCACTTCTCTCCACTATCAGAGGCTTCTGAGAGGCAACTGCACTGCGTCATTGTCCCCTGTTTGTTGTTGTTTAGTCATTTAGTCGTGTTCGACTCTTCGTGACCCCATGGACCAAAGCACGCCAGGCACTCCTGTCTTCCACTGCCTTCCGCAGTTTGGTCAGACTCATGTTTGTAGCTTCGAGAACATTGTCCAACCATCTCGTCCTCTGTCGTCCCCTTCTTTTTGTGCCCTCCATCTTTCCCAACATCAGGGTCTTTTCCAGGGAGTCCTTCCAGTGAGCACTCAGGGCTGATTTCCTTAAGAATGGATAGTTTTGATCTTCTTGCAGTCCATGGGACTCTCAAGAGTCTCCTCCAGCACCAGAATTCAAAAGCATCAATTCTTCGGCGATCAGCCTACTTTATGGTCCAGCTCTCTCTTCCATACATCACTACTGGGAAAACCATGGCTTTAACTATACCATTGTCCCCTAGCCTGTGCTGAATTCCTATACATACTTACCTAGAAATAAATCCCCTGAACCCATGTACAGAATTCCTTTTTTTTTTTTTTTGTCTGGATGATTAAAAATGGAGCTCATCTTGACAGGTTTGGGGTTGTGTTTTTTGCAGCGGGGCTTAGAGAAATTTCTTATTTAAAAGAATAAGATATATATTCAGACACCTGGACTACATCTGGGTTCAATTCCTCCAGGTAAAGACTCCTGTCTGAAACCCTGGAGAACAGCTGCCCGTAATCAGTGTAGATCAGTATTTCTCAAAGTTAGATCTTCAGCTGTTGTTGGACTACAGCTCCCATCATACAGACCACTGGTCCTGCTAGCTAGGGATAATGGGAGTTGTATTCCAACAACAGCTGGAGAGCCAAGTTTGAGAAACATTGGTGTAGATAATACTGAGCTAGATGTATGAGTGATCTGATTCAGTGAAAAGACAGCTTCCTATGCTCCTTGTATCCTTAATTCCACTACCCAAAGAGTCTAAAATGCTTCACATGGGCATATAAGAATGATCTATTTGGCTCCAGCAGAAGGTCAGTGGCTAAACATGGCACACAGAATCATCCACACGTTTCTGTTTTAAAGTTTTTATTTGTATGTCTGTAAAAGTACATTTTAACAAATCTGTAATATGCTTCTTTTATTTATTAAATTTCTTAGTCACTTTATCTTGCCCAAAGCAACTTGCAACCAAACAATGAATAAATGTACAGCTCATAATAAGCCACTATGCATGTTTATGCAGAACTTAGAAGAAAATACTAATTTGTATGCTTATGAATATCTAACTTCACTGAAACCATTCTAAGAAAATTTTGCTGCCGATGCAAATTTTGCTGCTGATACAAAGTAATATCAATGGGTGATTGGCGTATTTGAATACTGCCACTGACCATGAGGACATGTGTTCGGAGATCACTCAAAATGGGCCAGGAGACATCATTTCTTTCTTGAAGGACTGTTCCAGGCTCTGTGGTGGGAAAAGTCTTGTGTCCCCAATGTGTGAGAGAAGCAGAGGCCTTCCAGTTGAATTATCCTCAAGGCGCTTACAACTAATGGCAATAATACAGTACATAGCAAAGAAACAAACACCACACACACACAATCCATAAGACCTTAGTTTGCCAGCCAAGAGATGGAACCAGTGTGTGCTATCTTCAGTTCTACAGTCCCAGGGCAACTAGCAGTTGGAGCAAAATTAGTCGTCGTCCCCCGGTGGGGGGGGGTTTGGGGGGCAGCATGAGGAAATCAAGATCCATGCAGTTTCTCCTTCTGTAGCTGATTAAGGGGGCCAAAGCAGTGGATTACTCCGAGAGTTCTTTGCTCAGTTTTGTCATCTGCAGGGCTGGCCCAAGACATTTTGGCACCTGAGACAGACCCTGAAATGGTGCTCCCCTTCACACCAGTGACGATATACATCAGGAACAAGGCGAGAAGAAAGACTGGCATCAGGATTTGCTGCCATCTGAAACGGTTGCCTCACCTTGCATTGTCCTGAATAAAGATCTATATCAAGATCTGCTGCCCCTGTGGATCTGGTCACCTGAGGCAGTCACCTTACCTTGCCTCATGGGTTGGCTGGTCTTAGTAAACTGTTCGGAAGTGCCACTGCTTTCCCTGTCTGCTTTACAGTCGTACCTCGGGTTAAATATGTTTCAGGTTGAGCTTTTTCAGGTTACGCTCCGCGGCGACCCGGAAGTAACAGAAAGTGTTACTTCCGGGTTTCACCACTCGCGCACGCTCAGACGCTCAAAATGATGTCACACGCATGCATGGAAGTGTCGAAACGCGACCCGCCCACACGAAGACGCGCAGTCACGTGTTACGTTCTACTCAGGATGCGAACGGGGCTCCGGAACAGATCCTGTTCGCATCCAGAGGCACCACTGTATAATGATTGGCTGGGAGACGGACCAAAGCAGTTCTGGTTGACCTATGGAAGACCCAATCCAGAACAGGTGTTAAATTTGCAGCTTGCTTTCTTCATTCTCCCACACATTATGAACAGCAGGTATTCAGATAAATTTGGTGGACTTCAGCTTTGCGGACTTGAGCTGAGCACTAGTTAACAGAACAGGAAAAGAATTTTACCAGGACTCCACATTGGCAAAGAGTCTGTGGGCTTGATTTCCACTTTAAAAGGTTATTGTGCTGTTCTGCATTATGTCACAACTGGTGCATGGGCAGGCAATACAGTATAGGGGAGGAAGGAAGGTTGGCCACTTCATAAACCTCTGCAGGGGTCCCACCTGGGGCTTCAGGAGTTTGGACACAAAAAGTAGGGTGCATGACCAGCATTGTGAGTGGAGAAGTGGAGTGAACAGTATATTAAACAATCTATGGCTTTTTAAACTGGGGTGGGGTATTGGGTTGGGTTTTTTTCCATGTTATGTATTGTTGTGTTTTTATATTGCAGTAGTAGTAGTAGTAGTAGTAGTAGTAATAATAATAATAATAATAATAATAATAATAATAATAATAGGACCTCCTTTTCTGCACATTGGCCCTTGTAAATTTCCAATGTTGCAAGAAATACAGCATTGTTGATCCTAAGAAGAAGATGATCCTAACTGTGAGAAGTGAAGTTACAGGGAACCAGGCAAAGGGCCTTCTTGGTAGTGGTGCCCTCCCTGTGGAACACCCTCCCTCCAGATAAAGGGGATACAGAGGTAAAGGGGGTGAGGAGATAAAGAACTATACAACTTTTAGAAGATATCTCAAGGCACCTTGTATCAGTAAGTTTTTAATGTTTGATGTTTTATTATGTTTTGATATACGCTGTAAGTGGCCTAGAGTGGCTGGGTATAAATAATATAATTATATGATGATGATGATGATGATGATGATGATGATGATGATGAAAATCCTCTATACATGAGTGCTCTGCCTGTAGTAGAACTGAATTGTGTCAGCTATGAATAGGCCTCTAATGCATCAGTTTTAAAAATAAACACCCCAACCCTCAAAAGGTTAGTTACAAAATATCTCAATAAGCTACATTAATCTAGCTATTAATGAATGAAAATCATTTCCGAATTTGAACAAATTAATTAATTGGGAAAGAACTACAACTTGTGTACTTGTATAAAGAAGTATCTTGAAGTATCTTGAAGATACTTTTACTCTGCAGTATCTTCAGTGCCCGGTGAAGACTTTTTATTTTCCCAGTTCTTTTAAAATCAGGCTTTTAAAAATCTGTTTTTGCCTTTAATATGGTGGTAGCCTCAGAAACTTGCTTAGTCCAGTTTTATTTTCTGCTGTTTAAATTTCAGATTTTGTGCTGCATTAAGATTTATGACAATTATTTTAATCTTATATTTTAGGTCATAAGCCAACCACATTCTTTGTCAACGGTGTTGAGAAGGAGGAGAAGAAATGTTACGTATACAAAACCGTATCTGCTGTTTTGCTAAGGAGTACTATTCACTTACTTCATCATGTTCCGAATATAATTCTTCTTTTTTCATTGATAGAATGCCCTTGTCTGTGATTTTCTCTTTCTGGCCATCTATGGCATAATCCAGCTAAAAAAGATGACAAAAATTGTGAAAAGACACATTATTTCTATCAGCTCTGGACAGTAGATTTCCTGGGTCTTCCTATATTGAGTGGAAGAACAAGAGCATGAGGGCCTTGCCCATCCACTGGACACACCTGTACCACCAGACACCTATTGTGGTACCATAGCCTTTTAGAGACATAGAACTGTAGAGTTGGAAGGAACCACGAGGGTCATCCCGGCCAGCCCCCTGCAATGCAGGAATCTTTTGCCCAACGTGGGGCTTGAACCCTCAACCCTAAGATTAAGAGTCTCATGATCTACCAACTGAGCTATCCCAGCTTGACAGGGTGTACTTGAGTAAAATGTGGTCCGAAGAATTACTTCATATTCTGGAAACTGAAGTATAGTTCAGGTCGACACATAGTGGATTTTTCATGTGTATGTCATTAAAACTTTAATCCCTATACGTATAGATATCTAGAGAAAAGGACAGATGCACATGGTGGGCTGGGTGCGAAACCATAATCTTGCTTTCCCACTAGGGAAGTACAGTCAAACCTCAGAACTCAAACGGCTCTGTTCCCGAAAGTTTCAGCTCCCAAATGCTGAAAACCTGGAAGTGCTTCAGTTTTCGAACATTCCTCAGAAGTCGAACAACTTCCGAGGAACGATTTTCGTTTTCTTTTTCATTTATTTTGCAGCCAGCCCATTGATCCTCAGTTTATTTTGCAGCCAGGCCACTGAAAGTTTCAGAAGCCGAACGGTCTTCAAAAACACAAGTTCCACGATAATTAGATTCTCTCATGCTTAGTTTTAGAGTAGAAATACAGGGACAATTCACCTTCAATCAATCCATCATTTTATTTGTATGCCATCTTTTCAAAGTTAAAACATTTAAGAATTATATATCTTACAACAGCTAAAAATTACGTAACTACAAACTTGACAAAAGTCATCATAAAAATAATCAGAAGTAAACAGCCAAATCAAACAATTTCCACAAAATAGCGATACAAAAAATTAACAATGCCCCCCCAACCCCTAAGCAAGACCCGAGCCCAAGATTTTGTTCAGCAATGTCAGCTGAATTCAGTCAGGGCCCTGCCCTCCCAGGTCAGGTGGAGAAAGGCCTGCAAGGCAGGGAGCAAATATTCTATCTACGACTCACAGCCAAGATGGTCAACATCAAAATTTGCAGTGATTTTAATGGAATACCATCTAGTAGATGGGAGAAACAGTATCAACTTTGGGAAGCTAAGGTCTATAGAAACTATTTATATATACTGTAAAACTCTTTCACTCTCACGCACAGCTAAAGTCTGGATGAGTCTTATTGATGCAAGAATCATATTGTCACATGACTGTGCACTGATGTACCAACTGAACTGAAAGCTCAACTGATAGAACTGGCAGCACAAGTTACAGGTAATGCTAAAGAATTACTGATTAATCCATCTCTGGCAAATAAAAAAGGATTAGCACACACTGGGGGGAAATTAAATGAACATTTTAGTACAATACACTCTTATTATTATAAAAGAGCAGATTAGTCATACAAGCATTTAAATATTTGTCTCTATATTGTTGAGAATTAAGCATGTTAAATATACAATATTATGGTGTATACAAATTTAAATAAAAGTTAAATCAAGGGAGTGTATTTTCACATTGGAAAATTATTATGCAGTGTTAATAGCATCTCCTTCAGGTACCCAGACATAATGATAATATGCCTCTTTTTCTCTTTTTTTAGGGTACAATTCTCCTGTCACTTATGCCTACTGCATATTTACTTTTGGCATAATTTAACTGGAAGAGACACATAATAGATCTCTCTCGTTAAGACTGTATGAAATTGTAGTTTGTTCTTTCTAGGTTTGCATTTCATGTTACATTAAAGTGTGTGGAAAAACAAACTATGCTGCATCTCACAGAGCCAGTAAGAAGCTTACCCAACAGAACTGTGAAGTACTGTTCCAGAATGCCAGCTTCTTCCCCGAATCCACTTATTTCCCCTTTTTTAGTCTCTAGCTTCTTATTGGGTGCCCTTTGCCCAGAACTGGAAGCTTTTAACTTCAGTTGTTTGGCTAATCTCAGTTAAAGAATGAAACCGAATGCAAGGAAGAAAAGCAGTCTGGAATTCAGGTTACAGGTAGGTAGCCGTGTTGGTCTGCCGTAATTATTTTGTTTCAATTTCAGGTGGTACCCATACCATCCATGTCCCTCCAATGAAGACAAATCTCCTTCATGAAAGCATCCCGTCATCCCTCTCCTAGTCTGCGTCTGCTCTTCACACAGCAGTGGAGCAACTGTGGAAACATCAGCCAAAGCAAATCTCTTCCAGCCAGACTATATTTTCATTCAGACAGGCCAGCCCTGGGATAGAGTAGCAATGATCCTCAGCTGTACCTGACTTGTCACAATGACAAATACACCCAAAGTGTCCCTCTCCCAGAGTACAGTGGTACCTCGGGTTAAGTACTTAATTCGTTCCGGAGGTCTGTACTTAACCTGAAACTGTTCTTAACTTGAAGCACCACTTTAGCTAATGGGGCCTCCTGCTGCCGCTGTGCCGCCGGAGCCCGATTTCTGTTTCTTATCCTGAAGCAAAGTTCTTAACCTGAAGCACTATTTCTGGGTTAGCGGAGTGTGTAACCTGAAGCGTATGTAACCTGAAGCGTATGTAACCCGAGGTATCACTGTACTTCCCAATAGTGTATGATAGCAAATACACTAAAAGCTCTCGGAGCAGGAGTTAAAGAGTGTGGCTAACTCAGCATTAAGAATACAGTCATACCTCGGGTTACAGCTGCTTCAGGCTGCGGTTTTTTTTGGTTGCGGACTGCCGAAACCCGGAAGTACCGGAACGGGTTACTTTGGGGTTTTGGCGGTTGCGCATGCGCAGAAGCGCCAAATTGCAACCCACACGTGCGCAGACGCACAGATGCGGGTTGCAAATGCTGCGGGTTGCAAACGTGCATCCCGCACAGATCACGTTCGCAACCCGAGCATCCACTGCAATTTTCAAGAGAGAGAAACAAGAAACACCAGGAGGAGGGGGTGTTTAGCTGAGTTGGGTAACTTATAGCTGAAATTTATTGAAAACTGTAGAAAGTGCAACAGAGATCAGCACCTGACACTGTTGCCATGATTTTCAGCAGCTGCACTTAGTTTGTAGTCCTGTATCCTAATGAGACAGAAGATCAGTTTTTTGGATTAGCACCAAATCAAAGCAGGATAACAGATTAATTACATCACAGATTGCAGCTAAAGCATGCACCTTTGTCTTCTTAAACATACCTGACCAAAAATTGCTTGGCCTTATCATTTAGCGACCATAGTAATATACATAAACTTGAGTATAGATCAGTTACTTAGATCCCACTAAAATCCATGAAATTTAAGGAATCTATATGCAGAATGAGCAGTGCACATACTACATATTTCTTGAGTTTGGACCAATGTTGTATAAAACTTTATAAATTCTGCCTGTGCTGGCTATGCTGCAAGCTTATTTTTGGAACTGAGCTGCTGCTCTTATGTAAAGGTAAAGGTACCCCTGACCGTTAGGTCCAGTTGCAGACGACTCTGGGATTGCGGCGCTCATCTCGCTTTACTGGCCGAGGGAGCCGGCGTTTGTCCACAGACAGTTATTCCAAGTCATGTGGCCGGCATGACTAAGCTGCTTCTGGCAAACCAGAGCAGCACACGGAAACACCGTTTACCTTCCTGCCACAGCAGTACCTATTTATCTACTTGCACTGGTGTGCTTTTGAATTGCTAGGTTTGCAGGAGCTGGGACAGAGCAGCAGGAGCTCACCCTGTCGCAGGGATTCGAACCGCCAACCTTCTGATCGGCAAGCCCAAGAGGCTCAGTGGTTTAGACCACAGTGCCACCCGGGTCCAGATCTTATGTAATACATGATAATATTCAATGCAGGCCTTGTGCAGAGTTGTTCACACAAAGTTGTTCCCCATCCCTCCTTGCTTGCTACAGTCACCTCAGTGCCCCCAAAAGCCTCTTCTGAGAGTCTCATGAAACGCCTGGGATGGGACGCAGAAGCTGCAATGGGATGGGGGAAGTCAGGAGAAATCAGGGAGGCAGATTATATGGAAACATTTTTTTAAAAAAAAATCACTATATGAAGAAAGCACAGAAGCAACAGCTTTACCCTTTGATGAACAGTTTCTGTGCACAATATAAGGAAGCCAGCACTTTACACGTGAATTTGGCATTTAGATTGATGCATGTACACTTGCCATTTAAACTGGGTACTTTCTAATGACGAACTCCTTTTGGGGAGGGGGAAGAGTGTGAAACAAATGTAAGAAATAGATTCACATACGTAAGTATTGCCTTTATACAGCATTATAGGCAGTTCCTGTGAATAAATCTATGCCACTGAAATCTGTGGGACTGGAAGTTGGACTGCATTGTTGCCAGTAAGTTACCTAATTTGAGATATTTATATTGGTAATCAAATAGTATCCAACTCCTGTATAACATGAGTCATTCTAAAGTATGTGTTACATGCAGATCAATACACTTCAGCTTAAATACTGTGATAATCCGCTTCCAGATGTATTGACAGGATTCCCTAATGGTTTGTTGCTAAACAAAGGAGTGGGACAAATTACTTATTTATATATACAAAACATGATGATAAAGACTAGCTGCAGGTACTTTTTTGGAAAGTGCATTTTAATAAGGTCCTATTCAGTAAGAGAACAAATGGAGAAAAAGCAGTTTGAACAAGCATGTTTAGTGCAAAAGCACTCTCTCTTGCTAACAACAAAATCAATCATTTGTCCAGACTGTGGGGAGTCAAAGTTAGTTACTGAAAAGAGATCCATATATAAAACAAGTCAATAACTCATTGTGTGTTATTGTTGGGGCAAAGAAGTTTGCTTTCAGCTGGTCTGGCTCCCTCTGAGTGTCAGCGTATTCATAAAGTGGGGGAGAGGCTTTTTTTCCATAGCGTTTCTCCACTACAATCTACTTACGTGTGGAGAAGCAAAGCA